CGCCCGGCCTAACAATCTGTATTTTGATAAAACAAAATACAACTTCAACTATTAAAAAATACATCACTTTTTAAAAACTGTCCTAATCCATTTACATTATTAGGAAAAGACTGTAGATAGCAAATTTATTTCATTTTCATGTGCTGTTAAAGAACGTTTTGATGAAAACACTAGTAAAGAGCAGACTTGTAAAAGAATGTAGCATATAAAGATTATATAAAACTTCCTTCAAAAACAAAACAGGTAGCCAGGTATGGTGCTGTGTGTCTGTAGTCCTAGTTACTCTGCAGGCTGAGGCAGGAGGATCACTTGAGCACAGGGGTTTGAGGTTACAGTGAGTTATGACTGAACCACTGTACTCCAGCCTGGGTGACAGAATGAGACCCTGTCTCTAAAAAAACAAAAACTAAAACAAAACAGGAACAAAAGTCAAAACCTTGTAACAAAAGTCTTTAAATATTGTCTAGGTTATAGGAAAATAACTATATAAAAAGGGAGAAGAAAAAAGAGTAATCTTTTAAATGATATTTAGAATTTTCTCCTGCTTTTCAATATTAAAAATTTGAAATGTATCTAAAATTCGTAAATGAGGTTTTCTAAAATCTGGTATCAGAAAATACTTGTAAGTAATTTCCTATTACCCAAGTTTGACTTTGGAGTGCCCTACTTCTCTAATTCTCTATCCAGCTTAATTTAATATATTCTAATTAAACTCTGAGTAAAAGACTGTATATTTGTGATATTTATGCCTTAACTTATTATAAAAAATCCAGGAATCCAACTATTTAAATATGAAGGTTTTTCTACCCATTGCTTAAGTATTTTTTTAAGATTACTTATGGATTAGTTTTAGGGCACATTTTTTATTGTAGTTACCATAAGGTATACCAATCATATAATGACATTCACCATTACCTATTGTTTTATGGAATTATGGCACACAGTATTTTCAAAATCAACTTTTTAAAAAGACCTCCTTTCTAAGGGAAATGTCAGCGTGACTAGGAATTCTCAAATAGTTTTAAGACCTTACCCCATGATTCATGAATTACAAGTATACAGTTACTGACATTTTCAAATGTCAGTGATTTATTGAGCATTTCCCTAGTGTTTGATATTGCTGAATGTTTAAATGGTACATGGTTTGTTTTGTTTAAAGTAATTTTTCTGTATCCGAGATTGAATATAAATTGGAACAAATAATGACTATATTTGATATTAAACCTCTTTAAGTTATAGAGAACTTTTAAAATAATACATGAATAGAGGAAAACCAACTAAAGTGTTCTGGTTAGAAATGTTTCTAGCTATTATAAAGTGAAAATGAAAAATTAAAATTTGTTTTCTAAGCTCTAAAAATTAAGACAATAATCTTTAAACTTTTCCTGACAAATTTCTGTAGCCAGAGTAGAAATTGGGGGAAAAAATAGTATGACTGGTGAATCTTTATAATAAGTAAAGATTATTCAGCCAATATGGTTTCATGATATAATGTTAGAATTAAATTTTAACATTGAGATTTCAAAACAACCTACTTAAAGTTTAACAAAGTGAAAATACAATAAATCCCTAGAAATATACCATTATGTTAAGAAGAAAAGAAATGAACTTCCATGGACTACTCCAATGAGAAATGATCTCAGACTTCAAAATGAAGCACACTAAGTGTTAGTGGAAAATTGCACTGCCATTAAGGGCAATAGAAGAAAGTTAATTTTGATTTAAGCATGGACCTTTTCATTTTTTATTATTTGTTTTAGGAATTCTATTAATTGACATAGATATTAAAATGCAACTAAAATCAAGTAGGGAATAACTGATAAATTATCATTTGCAGAAATGTTATCTACCATTTGGAAAGTGAAAAAGAATACCTTTGGAAATTAGGCTGCTTTTTAAAGGAGATGCCACCTATAAATAGTGAGATGACAGTTATCGATTAGAATTATAGATTGTATATAGACTTCAATGCCCTAATTTTCAGTAAAGAAATGGAGCTTGAGAGAGGAGGTTACTCTTTTCAGGTCACACCTGGTTTATAAAAAAAATCGAGGCGCAAAACTTGGAATGCTGAACTCTTACTCACATATTCTTTGGCATTTTTTTTTTTTTTTTACTTGTGGAAATTCCCAACAATCTGTATTTTTTTTTTTTTTGAGACAGAGTCTCACTTGGTTGCCCGGGCTAGAGTGCCGTGGTGTCAGCCTAGCTCACAGCAACCTCAAACTCCTGGGCTCAAGCGATCCTCCTGCCTCAGCCTCCCGGGTTAAAAATGCATCTATGAGTTATAAATAATGTATAATATGGTGCATACTACAAAACTGCTGCCTTTTTTTTTCCTCAGGGGGTAATTTTTTT